GAGGGTAAGCGCGCAGCCTCCCATCCCTCGGTCCCCCGACTCGGGACCCAGGAAGTGGCCGGAGTCACCTTGACAGCTCGCAGAAGGGAGGGTGATCCGGAGAATTCATTCACTTCGGGGCAGGCAGATGTCACTGTGGGAGGAGGAGGGGCCGCTGGGGACCACCTCTGGTCACAGGCTTGACCTACCTTTGCTGCCAATTCCCTCTTTGACCTTGGAGCACACTTCATGCTCCAACCTTAGTTGGGTCCAGTGTGAAGCATCTGCACCGCTCTGCTGAGTGACGGCCTGAATCTGTAGCAGAGAAAACACTTAGTGCTTCGTAAAAGCAAAAGCTATGGTTCCCCGAGGTGGTGCCTGTACACTGTGGGGGGTGGGAGGGGCGCTGGGCTGGTGATGAGACTGATGAAGAGGAATCCCCAGAGGTCCCTCCTAGAGATTTGGAGGTGCCACTTATCCCACCTTTCATACTGGCTCAGGGAGTGACCCTGGGCTCTCCGGGAGACAGTGATGCTTTGAAGAGATTTCAAGTTCACATGCTCTTTTAGGAAACTTGGGTTGGCTGCAGGTGAGTGGTGCTGTTTGGGAGATGCTGGAGTTGACCTTAGGGAGGGTCAGCTTCCTGACGCTTCTCAGGCTCCTACACAGTAGGATCTGGGTAGCATTAACTAGGGACAGAGTGGGGGGGGGTCGTCTCAGAGTAGGCGATCTTTCAGGGGTATGGGACAGACAGGGAAGAGAGTAACAGGTCAAGGGCTGGAACTAGCCAGTCTCTTGTGGATGACCAAACCTTAGGGTGCTGGGTACTGATGAAGGCATTGGGGGGGGGGAAGAATATGAGAACGGGTTATCTGAGGGACCCCCCAGGCCAGGCTATGGTGTTTGTGTGTTTGAAGGAGCTGTGAGGGTTTAAGATAGCAGATCTGCTGGGGGGGGCAGCAGTGGAAGGCTGGTGGGTGAGGAAGGTGGGTGGCAGTCTGGGGGGGACAAGGCCACCTGTGCCCAGTTAGGGGAGGGAGCTGCAGAACATGGAGGACCCCTGGCCAAAGGCTGTGAGCCAGGGCAGGACAGTCTGTGGAGGGCTGTGAGGATTCTGAAGAAGCCCAATAGTGGTTAGGAACCTCGGAGCTTCCCCAGAAGCAAGGCTATTGCAGCGCAGAAACAGACTGGAAGCTTGGGTGGAATAAAGACCCTTCTTGGAAGCACGTTTCTGGTTAGTGGTACCAGAAATACCCTATCAATGGTATTTCTTGATTCTTTTGTAAGTATTTGAGAGGGTCAGTTCTGCTAACCTTTACCCTCGCCCCCATTGGGTAGGGCTGTTTCAGGGTAGTGTGGCTGACTGGCTCTGGGACCATCTCTGGCCCTGAATGCATTGACTCTTATCATTCCTACTGCCAGTGTGGCTGACTAACCCTGCCCATCAGCTGAAGAAGAGGCTATACACTGGGCAGGAGGAAAGCAAGAAGCTCTCTGTGGTGGCCCAGCCCACCACCGTATGTGATATCTTCTTGCAGTCCAGCCTTGTCTCATCTGAAATGGCGTGGCTCCCTAGTGATGTCACCACTGTCCCCCTTTTGATCTCTGGTGCATGTAAGAGCACCCCCTCTCAATGGCTCGGGCACTCAGTGTCTTGGCCTGCTGACTGTTGTACGACTTTCCAGTTGGTCCTCTGAGGTCTTCTAGATGTTCCTTGGGTGTGCCCTGTCTCCACCCAAAGAGGAGAGCCCATGGGCTGGGACTGGTCCTCACCAGTGGCTGCCACCTTATTTCTTTTTACAGCGATAAGACACCTTCTTAGGCCCTGCGCACATCCAGCCCTCACAGAGGTCCTAGAACAGGGCCCGAGTCAGTTTGGTGATGAGCCAAGAGCTGGTAAACTCGAGCCACCCGCCCACACCCACTGGTAGGCTTTGCTTGTTTAAGCTCCGGTTTTCTCCTCTCATGTGTGAGTCATGTCATGATTTCTACCTCACAGCACTAATCAGAGAAAGGTCTGGGGTGTAGGTTCTGTTGTGGTGGCTCCTTTCCCAGTTCCCTGAACAGCCTGGGTGAGGGGCTGGGAACAGGGGAGAGCAGCTGCTCAGCGGGAGTCTTTTGAGGTTACCCTTGAGGATGCTCTTACACCTCACTTCAGTTCTCTTCTGATACTCTAATGGATGGAGATCTGCTGGCCCTGGGGGCCCAGTGGGCTTGCAGCCTCTGCTTAGACTGGCTCCTATCTTGAGAGAAGGGGGAAGCTTCTGAAATGATACCGATGAGCCCCCAGACATAGCCGCACTCTGATCTTACTTTGCCCAAAGCAGCTGTAACCACACGGAGCTGGCCGTGTACCTTAGTTACCTTTAACTCTCGTTCTGCCCTTAGTGAGGTGCTTCAGCTCTGGAGAGGTCGTGAGGAGTGAGCGTCTTAAATATCTCACTCAAGGACACACTGGCCGCTAACACATGAAACCTCCGTGGGATTTGCCACGGGGCCCTCTAACGTGAAATGCTTGCCTCCCTTCTGGTGCAAGCAAGGACACTGGCTCAGAGTGGCTAACCAGACAGAATCCAATTGCGCTTTGAGCTCACAGCTCTCCTCTCTTGGCCCCTCAGAAGAGTCTGCTGCGGTCGGGAGAAGCCCTTCCCTCCTCATAGCTTGAAGGAATTGGAGAGCTCCAGTCAGAAGGCTGAGGCCTAGAACACAGTCTTCAGTCAACGGTTAGCTCTGGAAACAGAAACCAGACACTGGTTGGCTTGTGAAGGCTGCTTTCCCTGAGGGTGTGAGTCTGTCCTTCCAGGTGAAGGCTGGTGAAGCTGACCAGAGTGCCCTGCTGGGATCTGAAAACCCTGAAGATGATTCGAGATAGGGCTATTTCCAGCCTTTGGCCTGAGAGCGGGGCAGAGTGTTCTGGGGTAAGAGAGAGGGGACAGAGTGACTCTGCATACCTCAGGCTATATGGATTTCTCAGTGGTCACCAATTCTGAATTTTTAATGTTGAAAGTTTTTTTTTTTTTTTAGGCACAAACCCACAACTTCCTGGTCAAAACCACACACATGCATTTGGCAAAAGCTACCTAAAAATTTAAAAATTACCAAGCTTCACATTGGGCATTTAAAAATAGTCAGGGTTATGCTGGCCAGGCTGTGCCCCGGCGATTTAGCTATCAGCCACAGGCTTCTTCTGGGATGTAAGTGTGAGGGGGTCTGGGGTACAAAGAACCAGTGTTTGCCAGTTTTTCTTTCTAATATTAGGCCAAATCATCCTCATTTAGAAGCCCAGATGACCTGCACTGTAAACTCTTAGCGTATGTGGATGGGTCACTGCGTAGTGGGATGACTCAAGGTAGATGCTTGTGAAAAATTGGAGCGTGTTCACACCACAAGAGCCCTAACTCCTGGGACCTGAGAATGTGCCCTTGGGTGGAACTGTAGTCCTGGCAGGCGTTAGTTAAGAGGAAGCCAGAATGGAGTTAGTGGCCCCCAGTCCACTGTGAACTGGTGTCCTTAGACAAACACAACTAAACCCTGGAAGGCTAATGCTAAGAATGACTGAGGTTGAAGTGACAAAGTCAGGAGCCCAGGGCTTTCAGCAAAACCCCAGGAGCTAGGATGAGTTAAGCAAGGCTTCCCTGAGGACTCCGAAGGCAGCATGGTCCTGCCAACACCTCAATTTTGGGACTTCTGGTTTTCATAACTATGAGAGGATGCCTTATTTTTGAAGCCACCCAGTAGATAGCACCTCAGTCTGAGAAAGCAGGCACCACTGGACTCCAACTATTCATCCCCAGGCCTCCAAGAGGGCAGACAATGAACAGTGTGTTGGGAGTCCTGGGGTGTCTGTCGTAGGGTTTCTATTGCTGCAATGGAACACTTGGGGAGGAAAGGGTTTATTTGGCTTACACTTCCAAATCACTTTTCATCATCAAGGAAGTCAGGGCAGGAACCTGGAGGCAGGAGCTGATGCAGAGACCAGGGAGGGGTGCTGCTCACTGGCTTGCTTCCCCTGGATTGCTCAATCTACTTTCTTTTCTTTTCTTTTCCCTTCCTTCCTTCCTTCCTTCCTTCCTTCCTTCCTTCCTTCCTTTCTTTCTTTCTTTCTTTTTCTTTTGAGACAGGGTTTCTCTGTCAACCTGCTTTCTTATAGAACCCAGGACCACCAGTCCAGGGATGACCCCACCTGCAATGGGCTAGGCCCTCCCTCATCAATCACTAATTAGGAAAATATTGTACAACTGGGTCTTGTGGCGGCATTTTCTCAATTAAGGTTCCCTCCTTTCAGATAACTCTAGTTTGTGCCACACTGGCATAAGAGCAGCCAGCATAATGTCCTTCTGTCCATGCTGCCTGCTTTGGAGAAAGCATCCCCATGAAGGAGTGAAGAGACTCTTCATTCTGACAAGGGTGGGATAGATGTACACACACTCCTTTTCTACTAAGTTCCTATAGCCCAGTTGAGTTGTAGGCTGACCGAGGATGCTGCATCCAGTGGAGTGTTTTGAGTCCCAGTCTGTATTGTGCAATGCAAAGATCAAGTCCTACTCTAGGGAACCCAAAGAAGTCAGCACAGTTCTTAATCCCAAGGAGCTAGGGGCTGGTCATCATAGTGACAGTGCACAGAATTCAGCATGTTGGACATAGTTCTTTTTTTTTATTTTATTTTTATACATATACAGTGTTTTGTCTGCATATTTGCCTATATGCCAGAAGAGGGCACCAGATCTCATTACAGATGGTTGTGAGCCACCATGTGGTTGCTGGGAATTGAACTCAGGACCTCTGGAAGAACAGCCAGTGCTCTTAACCTCTGAGCCATCTCCCCAGCCCTGGACACAGTTCTAAGCACTCTACTGTCCTCTTTCAGCAGCCACAGGGCATCTGTACCAGAAACCCTTGTCTGACCCCAAGATTCAAGCATGCTCGAGAGCCCGAGATCAAATGGCATATTTGCATGGAATCTGCTCCCATCTCACAGGCTTTAAACATCTCTAAGTGCCCTATAGTATCAAATATAATGTACACGCTTCGTGCTTAGTTGCCATTCTGTATTGCTCAAGGAAAAACAATAACATGAAAGTCTGATGCCAATTTTTCTTATGTCAACCTAGAGTTGGTTGAGTCTGTGGCTATGGACCCACAGTTAGGGAGGGCCCCGTGTTCACTGATGTCTCCTAAGAACCAGAGCAGTAGATGCTGACATGGGGTAAGAGGAGCAGAATAGACGCTCAGTAACTTGGTAACGTGTGCACATTCAGAAAGGGGCAGAGCATGGATGTGAACCCGGGAAGTGACTTCAGACGCTGTACCTTGTTCTCAGTACACAGGTTTGAAAGACGGGAGAGAACTATGTACAGCAATGTGTTCTCCACCGCAGAATTGTGTGGCTCCAGGAGAAACAGACTGTGCCGAATCGCGCCCTAAGGACAGGAACAGTGAGAACAAGCTCCATGTTTCAGGGTTCTCACGCTGCCTGAAGCCACACACCCAGACTCCCGGTGGACGAAGACATAGATTCTAGGTGCAGTTTAGGGTAGACCCCTCAAGGAATCCAGTGAAGATTGCAGCAGGACCCCAGTGTAGACTCCTGAAGGAGTCCAGTAGAGAACCCTAGCATAGACCCCCACGCCCGGAAGAACCCAGTGTAGACCCCAGTAGAACTCAACTTACACCCCCTGAGAAATGTAACTTATCTCCCAGAGGAACCCAGCATAGACTTCTGGAAGAACCCAGTGTAGCTCCCGATGGAGCCCAGCATAGGCCTCTAAACCCAGTCGAGATCCCTGGAGAAGCTTAGTATAGACCCTTGAAGAGCCTAATGTAGTCCTCTAGTGGACCCCAGCACAGACTCCAGGAGGGATGTAATGTGTACTCATGATAGAGTCCAGCATGGGTCTCCAGCTGAGCCCAGTGTAGACCCCTGGAAGAGACCAGCATATACCCTTGGAGGAAACTACTGTTGGACCCCGGGATAACCCAGTGTAGAACTGTGGAGCAACACAACATAGACGCCTGGAACAGCCCAGGGTAAGTCTCCAGAGCAGTGGTTCTCACCCTTCCTAATGCTGCGACCCTTTGATACAGTTCCTAATGTTGTGTTGTGGTGACTGCAACCATAAAATTATTATTATTTTGTTTTGTTTTTTGTTTTTTGTTTTTTTTGAGACAGGGTTTCTTTGTGTGGCCCAGACTGTCCTAGAACTCGCTCTGTAGACCAAGTTGGCCTCAAACTCACAGAGATCCGCCTGCTTCTGCATTTTGAGTACTGGGATTAAAGGCATGTGCCACCATCACCCCTGATCATAAAATTATCCTCATTGCTACTTCATAACTGCGTTTTGCTACCATTATGAATCCTAATGTAAATATCTGTGTTTTCTGATGGTCTTAGTCAATCCCTGTGAAAGGGCCATTTGCCCCCCCCCCACCAGGGGATCGTGACCCCCAGGTTGAGAGCCACTGCTCTAAAGGAACCCAGCATGGGCCTCAGTGGAGCACAGTGTTGACCCCCTGAGGAGTCCAGCTTAGTTCCAGGAGAAATCCAACATAAACTCCTGGTACAGGCCGGTGTAGATGTGGTGGGTTTTCTGGTGCTACTTAGACCTGCTCAAAGGAATGATTCCAAAATGTTTGTGGGTCTCACAGGTCAAGACCACTGACTGAATACAGGATTTCACTCTATCCCTTTAGAAGCCCATTAAGAAACAGTAGAGGGACATTTTAAATGCCAGTCACAATAAGAACTGGAGCTAAGAGCTTGTGAGATGGGGCTGAGTGCTGACAGACTTAGGCCCATCTGTGAAAGACCGTTAAGCAGAGCAGCCACGGGTGTCACACTTCAGGATCCAAGTGCTCAGGGACGTGGGGATGGTGGAAGATAGACTGAAAACAGGAAGAAGGGTGTGGAATTTCTTTCAGAGATATGGAGCCCACATCTAAATAGCCTGTCCCCATCTCTGACAGGAACTTGAGGTAAAACTCTCAAGATCGGGAGGGACTATTACACAGAACTACATAAGGAACAGGCCATGGAGTCTATTTCACATACTAAGTGTGGAGGGCACTCTCCTTGCCTTCTTAGGAAGAGCCCGCCCCAAGCCTATAGCCTCAGGGAAGGAAACAGAAGAGGTTCTTCCAATCTACCCAGGTGGAAAAAGCCAAGAAATTTAACAGCCCCAAACCAACCTGCCAGACCCCCTGCCATGCTCCCACAGATAGCAGGGGCTCCAGGGAACTCTTTAGTCCTTTTGCCTTTAGCTGTGAATGATAACCAAACACCTACAGGAATTGGAATAAGCATTTTGAAAGGCTCTGTTGGGATGAGTTCACACTCTTCCTGCCTCTCCTCTTGTCAAACAGCTCTCAGTAGAATCTTCAGAGAAACTAGTACATCACCAAAACAAGAATAGTTGCTTTAAGTGAGGACACCATAGTACAGATGGAGCAAACCCCAAACACCTTAAGTTATCATTACAGAAGTGAAAAACCTGGTAGAAGGGTGAGAGGAGAAAGTTGAAGAAATCTTCGCAGAGATAAACCAGAGGTGAAGAGATAGGAGGAGGGGGGAGGAGGAAGGAGGAAGAGGGGGGGAGAGGAGGGGGAGAGGAGGGGGAGAGGAGGAGAGAGACCAATTTAAGAGCACAAACATTTGAAGACTTTGACTTTGAGAAGGAAATCAGAAAATGAAAGAGAAGAAGCCATCAGTGATATAATTAAAGAAAAACTTTCTGGCACTGAAGGACATGAATTTCCAGCTTGAAGGGGCCCATCAGTTGTCCATTGGAGTAGATAGAAATATCTGTATCCAACCAATGTGTGACATGCAGGATGGAATTCTTGGATAGACGCAAACTAAGTAGTTGAAATATAACAGCTCATGGTGAGCATAGAGAGCTAGGCTTTTCAAAAGCATCACTGGTGCTAGATGACAGCAAATACTTTTAAAGTTCTGAAGAAAGATTTCCAAGCTAAAATACTAACTCCAGGAGTACTAGTCACCATGGTATTTAATAAATTTTGCTTGGTGTTATGGTGGATTGTGTGTGTGTGTTCCCATGTGTGTGCACTCAAGAGTCAGTACCTGCAGAGGCCAGAAGACGGAGTTGGATCAGGATCTGGAGTTACTGGCAGTTGCGAGCTGCCTGACATGCGTGCTGGGAACTGAATTCAGGTCTTCTGCAAGAACACACTCTATAACTGTTTGTCCCTCTGTCCTTCAGTGCCAGAAAAATTTTAATTATATCACTGATGGTTTCTTCTCTTTCATTTTCTGATTTCCTTCTCAAAGTCTTCAAATATTTGTGCTCTTTTTTTGGAGGGGGTATTTGAGGCATGGTTTCCCTGTGACTTTGGAGTCTGTCCTGGAACTCGCTCTTGTAGACCAGGCTGGTCTGGAACTCACAGAGCTCCGCCTGCCTCTGCCTCCCGAGAGCTGGGACTAAAGGCGTGCGCCACCACTGCCGGCCCCCCTTTTTTCCAAGATCTTATCTCCAAGATCTTATAGAAAACAGTAATGATAGTATAAAAAAGGAGGCCCAGGATGCTGGTATGTTGGGAAACTGGATCCCTGCTGTGTTGCTGATAGAAATGTAAAAGGTTATGATCACTGTGGAAAACACTTTGATGTTTCCTCAAAAAGTTACACAGAATTACCACACGATCCAGCAGTTCTGCTCCTAGGCATGCACCCCAAAGAATTGGAAGCAGGGGTCCCAACAGATTTGTTCACATGTTCATAGCTGTGCTATTTACAGTGACCAAAGGGAAGCAACCCGGTTTTGCTACTAACTACCTGGTTTTGCTTCAGTTGCTGTGATAAAAATCCGAGACAGAAAACAATGTAGGGTTTATTTCAGCTCACAGTCCCAGGTTCTGGGCCAGCATTGCTGGGAAGTCAGGGCAGCAGCTTGAAGCGGCTGTCACATCTATAGTTAGGGGCACAGAGGGGCCGATGGCTGAGCACACATTCTGTAATCTTACACAACTGAAGCAGGACCTCAAGCCAGGGAAGAGGGCCACCTGCAGGTTCTTCCCACACCAATGAACACAGCCGAAGCAATCCCCCACAGACACGCCCAGCCTGATGGAGACAAGCGCTCACTGAAGCTCTCTTCACGGGTGGCCACACTGACGGGCAAAACTAACCATTGCAAATGGATAGACCCAATGTAATATATCCATAAAATGAAATAATGAACCATAACAGGAGTAAGGTTCTGTTACATGCCACTTGAGAACATGTTAAGTAAAATAGGCCTGACACCAAAGAAAAAGTGCTGCAAGATTCCACTCGTGAAATAAGTAGGACTGGCAAATGGGTCAAAGCAAGGCGGCTAGGAGATGGGGCGCAAGAGTTTCTGGTTAGTGGGTACGGAGCCTCTGCTTACAGAGGTGAAAGTTGTGCACACAGATAACAGGGCTAGCCTGGCTACTCATTGCTATTAATTGAGCACTTAAGATGGTTAAAATGGCAAGTTTTATGATGTATTACATGTATCTCATAAGATACACATCACAATAAAATAAGAAAACCTCTGTTCTAAGTCTAACAGGTTTCCTTTGTTTTGATAAAAATGTTAAGTGGGAATAAAAGTGAATAAGGAGAACCCGGGGTGGAGAAGGAGGAGGGGGGGGGGGCAGACACCCGGTCACAGGGCTGTGAGGGTGGAATGTGTGGAGCCTGGAACGGGCTGAAAAAAACAACAGGAGCGTCTAGGTCAGAAAGCTGTGACTGCCATCGAAGGAAGGAGTCTGTGGGCAGCAGTGGTGACAGAGCTGGGGCTGGAGTCCAGTAGGGAGTCTCTCAAATGGCAGGCATCACCGCAGTCACCCTGAGGGCTGGTTACAGCTTTTGCTCAGTTCCGCCCATAAGGCTCCTGCGGTTAGGACTGGACATGGTGGTGGGGTTGGGGCCGACAGCTGACGCGGTCCCATTTGTCTTCTCCTTAGATACCACCACACGCCTGCTGCTGGGAGCCATTGCAGTCCTGCTGTTCGCCATCTTGGTGGTGATGAGCATCTTGGGTGAGTGTCAGCAGCCCACACCTGTGCGTGCTGTGTGCACCAGTGCGCACACCTCGTCCCAGCGTGTCCCGTTAGGACGTTTCTCCACACATGGGAATGGGGGCAGGCACACAGTGCAGTAGAAATAGAGTGGGTGGCTGTTAGTGTAATTGTAACCTGAAGTAATACAATTCCACATGGACTGTGCACGCCCCATTCATTGGCCAAGTGGGAAGCAACGGTGTCAAGGAATTCGTTCCTAAATGCCATGGGCATTCAGAGCAGGCTAGGTTAGGCAGGCAAAGCCTCTTGGAGGTGACATTTGGAGATATGAGACTTTAAATGTCACATTCATTCAACAAACACTTATTGAACTTTGCTACATGCAAGATTCTAGGCTAAATGCTGGGTGGGGTGGGGACTAGTGAGAGGAGAGAGGGGGGGGGGGAGGGGAGCGGGGGGAGGGGGGTTTTCCCTGCATTTGTTTTCTCTAAGTTGTATTTAGCTCAAAATAATCCTTAAACTGAAGGGGTGTCCTTTGGAGTGGAATACTCTGTATTGTTTTGTTTTTTGGTTTTTCGAGACAGGGTTTCCCTGTGTAGCCCTGACTGTCCTGGAACTCACTTTGTAGACCTGGCTGGCCTTGAACTCACAGAGATCTGCCTGCCTCTGCCTTCCGAGTGCTGGGACTAAAAGCGTGTGCCACCACTCCCCAGCTAGGAGTAGAGTACACTGAATGCTACACAGGAAACATTTTAAAGGGGAGAGGCTTGCAAACGTGGAGTGTTGCCTGGCAGTTGACTGGGTTATGGAGGTAAAGCAGGGAGGCAAGGCTCCCAACAGGGATGAATGGGTGATCTGGGGAGACTTCCGGGAAAATGTCTTGGCCTCTGTGGAGTTTGCAGAAGTGATTGAAGCTTTTCTTCCTCCCTTCCTCTTCTTTTTGAGACAGGCTCTGATGTAGCCCAGGTTGGCCTTGAATTCCCAGTGTTTGCGGCTGGCTCTGAACTCCTGGTCTGACTGCCTTCACCTCCCCTGTGCAAGATCAGAGGCTTTGTGTGCCACACCAGGTGTGTCTGGTGTGTGTCACCAACCTGGCTTATGCAGTGCTGGGGACCAGACTCAGGCCGTGAGCACGCTAGGCAAGCGCCCATCCACTGATCCACTGACCGGCATCCCTAGTCTTTACTGTTTACTTTGTGTGTGTGTGTGTGTGTGTGTGTGTGTGTGTGTGTGTGTGTGTGTAGGCCAGAAGAGGGCATCATATCCCCTGGGGCTTGAGTTATAGGCAGTTTTGAGCCACCTCATGTGGGTGCTAGGAACTGAACTCAGGTTCTCTGCAAGAGCAGCTTGTACTTTTAGCCGCTGAGCCATCTCCCAGCCTCTTTAATTTTAGAAAGCATGTGGACCAGGAGTAGGTAGCCTCATTAAAATGGTGAAAATTCACTATCAATCTCTACCAAGATCTCCCTTGTCCAGCTTGTCCCTCGACAGGCGGGGGGTCTGAATGTGTTTACAAGTGGACTGAGAGGCCGCTGGGGTCAGATCAACTTTGCCTAGAATAAGGCTCCAAAAAGAATAATTTTCTCTTCACACCTGTCCCGCCTCAGCAGGTCAGCGGGTCAGGGAATGTGTGGACACAGCTTTGGTGCTTTCAGCAAAGCTCAGCTGTCTCTCAGGAGAACCAGGGAGGAGAGGCTACACCATGGACAGTACTCTCAAGTGGACCTGTGTCAGTGCTTAGGTGTGCCCAGAGAGTGTCCAGCAGTGTGCCAGTGTCCATGTGGTAGTAGATGCCCAGGACAGCGTAACCCCTTGGGTAGTATGCTGTATTCTTTGTCCTATCTTACTCAGTTATTTTTGTTTGTTTGTTTGTTTGTTTGTTTGTTTTCCGAGACAGGGTTTCTCTGTGTAGCTTTGGAGGCTGTCCTGGCACTCCCTTTGGAGACCAGGCTGGTCTCGAATTCACAGAGCCCCCCCTGCCTCTGCCTCCCGAGTGCTGGGATTAAAGGTGTGTGCCACCAATGCCCTACTACTACTCAGTATTTTAATTAATCATTTATATGAAGAAGAAAAAAACATGCTCATGGTATTTGCAGTTAGTGCCATTCCATATAATCAATGGGGAAAACAATCAAGATTAAAATTTACCTTTTAATTTATGGGCTACATAGTGGCACACACCTGGTGTCCCAGGGGAGGTAGAGGCAGGAGATCAGGAGTTCAAGGTCAGCCTTAGAGAATTTGAAGTCAGTGTCTTAGTCACTGTTCTAGTGCTGTGAAGAGGCACCATGACCACGGCAACTCTTATAAAGGAAAACATTTAATTGGGGCTGGCTCACAGTTCGGAGGTTTAGTCCTTTGTCATCATGGCAGGGAGCATGCTGACTTGCAAGCAGACATGGAGAAGGAGCTGATACATCTTGATCTGCAGGCAACAGGAAGTGAACTGAGACACTGGGCATAGCTTGAGCTGGGAGACCTCAAAGCCCGCCCCCACAGTGACACACTTCCTCTAACAAGGCCATATCCACTCCAACAAAGCCAAACCTCCTAACAGTGCCACTCACATAACCTTTGGGTGACAATTACATTCAAACTGCTACAGTCAGCTTTGGTGACAGGAGACTGTGTCAAAATCCAAAACTAAAACTTACTTATAAAACTAATGAGCCAGGAATTGTGATTTATGCTCTTTATCCCTGAGCTTGGGAAGCCAAGGCAGGCAGATCTCTGTGAGTTTGACGCCAGCCTGCTTTACATAGTGAGGTCCAGGTCAGCCAGGGCTAAAAAGTGAAACCAAACGAAAACTCAAATGAGCCCAAGGGAAGGAGAGATGCGTAAATCAAAGCCAAACAAACTTCTGGTTTTGGATTAACATGTGTTCTGGTCTCCAGGAGATGCAGAGTGTAAGTAACCACATGGAAACGAGGTCTTGGAGAGTTGATGTTCTGAACTGCTTTCCCAGAAAAGTGTGTGTGTGTGTGTGTGTGTGTGTGTGTGTGTGTGTGTGTGTTTGTGTGTACGCCACGTGAGCTATGGAGGACCCAAGAGGGCATGGGATCCCCTAGAACTGGGGTTGAGGACAGTTGTGAGCTGCCATGTGGTTGCTGGGAATTGAATCCAGATTGTTTGCAAGAACAGCAAGTGCTCTTAACCTCTGGGCCATTTTTCCAGCCCCACTTTAAAAATATTTTTTACACTTATATTTAGTGGTGGGGTTGTGGGTGTAAAAGTCAAGGGACAATATGCACGAGTTAGTTCTCAAGTTCTCACCTCCCACTGCGTGGGTCCCAGGGATGCAACTCAGGCTGGGAGGCAAAGTGTCTTTACTTACTGAGCAAATCATCTACCCAGCTCAGGACTCAAAATTAAAAGGGATTTTCTAGAAGTTCAGTGGTGAGCAGGGTGGTGGAGCTAGCCAGTGAGGGAGAGCATGGTTGTGAGAATGGCACACTGTCCTGCCAGGGTCCCACCCTGGCTGCAGAGTTGTGGCCTTCAGGTCACGTCTGGTCTGAGTTCCTAGGGTTAAGAGAGAGAACTTTCCTTGGGTTTGTCCCCGACGGTGACACACTGACCAACTTCCTCAGTGCCCCTTTTCTTGTTAATGTCATCTGGAACTCCTCTCTGAGGCACAGTGACTTCAGCAGTGTCTCTGAAGGGCATTGAAGTCCAGGTGGAGGGAAGGAATGATGGGAAAAGGGCTGGGGACACAGTGGGGATCTGGCAGTGCCAGGCACACTCGGAGACGCTCAGCCCCCTCTCCCTCCCTGCAGCTTCCAAGGGCTGCATCAAGTGTGAGACGCCCTGTCCTGAGGATTGGCTGCTCTACGGAAGGAAATGCTACTACTTCTCCGAGGAGCCCCGAGACTGGAACACGGGGAGGCAATACTGCCATACCCATGAGGCAGCACTGGCTGTGATCCAGAGCCAGAAGGAACTGGTAAGCGCCTGGGTCGGAAGCAGGGGCCCCCAGGCCTATGCTGACTCTAAGGGGAGACAGAACCCCCTGATCTCTTGGTCATTTTGGACATTGTGGCACAGTGCTGCACACTTTGGAAATATGAGCGGGTCTCAAACCAATTTCTGTTTGTCTGCGATGCACAATATTTCTGTGTCACTTTCTGAGAAAGTCCCAGAAGTACAGGCCGGACAACCTACAGTGGGTAGAATCTGGCCAGGAGTCAACATATCCTGTAGGCCAGGCAAGCTATGGGATGGGACCTTTTCAAGCTGTGGCAAGCTTGGGAAGCTGTTGCGGTCTTGCTCCAGCAGTGTGGCTGCCTAGGGCTCTGTGGTCGTTGATCCTCACACTTCCATCACAGTGACACACCGCCTCAGTGCTCACATCTCCCTAGAGCCAGCATCGTCCAGGCCGGCCTGGGCCCTGCAACGGAGACAAAACGGCACCACCCCATGTCGGGGTTTCTCTTTCCCTTTGCAGGAATTTATGTTCAAGTTCACACGGAGGGAACCCTGGATTGGCCTGCGCAGAGTTGGAGACGACTTCCATTGGGTCAATGGGGACCCATTTGACCCAGACACGTGAGTGGGGACTCCATTTTCTAGAAGAGAGATGAGCTTTCACAAGGAAGGTGTAAGCCCAGAGGCAGGTCTCAGACAGATGCATGTGGTTTTGAGCCAGCTACAGTTGACAGGTCTCTAGGGCAAGTCAGGGGTGGTGTCTGGCAGGAGGGTCCTTTATGAAAGTGACTTGATTTCCCTCTAAGTCCAGCCTGGTTTGGTAGTCCTGCCATTACAGAGCTTCTTGGTGAAAGGCACAGGTACCCTCTATCTGTGACTACCCCATCCACCTATGCCACTCCTGGCCAGAACTTAGTCACATGTCCGCACCTGTTTGCAAGGGATGGTGGACGGTGTGACTTCTATAGGCAGTGGGCCCCAAATGCATTGTGGCAACGGAAGACAGAGACTCTAAGCACAGTTGCCCACTGGTGTTACTGATGACTTTTTTCTGTGATGTCATCTTCTGGTTCAGGTGCCCTGAGGGAGGTGTTGGGTACACAGTGGTGCCGTTTGTATGGCCCAAGTGATGTGGCAGTGATCTTGGGGGTGGCAAGTGTGATTGTGGTAGTGGATTGCTGCCCTGTAGGTCTATGTGGTGGCTGGGTACGCTTAGGGACAGGCAGACTCCACCTATGGAGGGAGCACTGTGCTCTAGGGTGCCAGCTCAGAAAGAGCATGGCTGTCACTCTGATGGTGACAGCAAGAGTGGCCCCAAGTGAGAAGGGCTCCTGGCAGCAGGGCTGGTGATGTGTGTGGCCCACCTAAGCCTAGAGCCAGCCAGAAGCCTTTCCCACGTCCTTTCCTGTCACTCCAACTTAGGGGCTTCGCCTCTTCCGCAGCCTCTCAGTGTCTCTTTCTTTCTCCCAGGCAAGACCATGGAAGAACCTTTCTTTGTCTTTCTGGAAACTTCCTGCTGTTATTGTTCCAGGGAGTTCTGGAGGCTAGGGTCTCTCAAGGGCTGACCACTGGGCAAGGACACTGCCCTTGGGTTGCCACCCTCTCAGCTGCCAGGGAGCACAGACTGGGTGAACAGGCATGGTTTCTATGGAATTCTCCAGGGCTGTGTGTGCATGGTTTTGGTGAATTGCAGGCTGTGCAGCTCCGTTCTTCCAGGATGACTACGTTCCTGAGCTTTTACTGTGTGCCAGACACTGTGCTGGGAGGAGCAGGGCATAGAACCTACACGCTGTTCAGAAGCTGGCTGCCTTGGGGAGGGGTGGGGACGGACACAGCCCCTCAAGGCTGTGATGAAGAGTGCCTCACGGTGCTAACAGGGTTCTGTGGGAAGTAAGGTGGCCAGAGAGTGGCTCTGAACTGGCACCTTGGAGCTGACCTTAGAAGGAGACAGGAACGGAATAAAGAAGGTAGGCAGTGTTGGTGGCTGGTGTGTTGAACAGTTAGTTGCAGTGGCTGGAGCACAGGGCTGGTACAGTGGGGGACTAAGCTAGAAAGGCGTGTCAGTGGCTGTCTTGGAAGGGCCTGTAGGACCACCTGTGATGGGCTGCGTGAGAGCGGGCGCTTGATCTTTTCTCTCCTTTCACAGATTCACCATCTCGGGGATGGGGGAGTGCGTCTTTGTGGAACCCACCAGGCTGGTGTCTACAGAGTGTCTGGCGACCCGGCCCTGGGTGTGCAGCAAGATGGCCTACACGTGACTTGGCTCTGGCAGGAGGTGGCCCCTCTGCCCAGGTCCAAGGGCAGTGTCTGTTCTACCTACCACCTGCTTCCAGCAGGAGCCACCACCCTCTCTGAATGGAAGTAGCCAGCCAGGTGGTCTCTGCCACTGTCCCCTCTTGGGCTCCAGAGCTCAGAGGCCCTGGTTCCTGGCTTCTCCTGTCCCCAGGCAGGCCCTGCGGCTTAGCAGTTATATCTCATGTGCTAAGTAGTGTAGACATCTTGCCCCCATACACACAAGCACACGTGTGTACACACGTGTACACACACAAACACACCACACACACACGCAGGCTCTTTGTAATAGGTCACCCTTCCTTGGCTCTGCCCAGGAGCTTCCTCACTGCAGCCCTGGTGCTTCTGGGCAGAAGGGGGCTGACATGGATCATACAGCTTTTGGCTCAGCAGCCTGCCCTCCCTAGTGGATTCTCTCAGGTTGCTGGGGGAGGCAGGCAGGCACAGCTTCCTCTGCACCTTGGAGAGAACAGCCAGGGCTGGAGGTCCCTGGGTCAGTCCTCCCTGCCTTCCCGGGGTCCTCAGGCAGGGCCCCTGCTGTGCTGTGGTGCTGTTGTCACTAATGGAATAAAGGCATAACTGCATCTGTGAGTCTGCTGCCATTTGTTTCAGGGTCACAGCTTGGGGAGGGGCAGACGGGCAGTCTGTGGGGGCCACCATAAAGATGCACTTGTCCCAGTGTGACAGGCAGCATTGTGTAGGAACCTAGGATGAAAAGAATGAGCAACGAAACGGAACACATTTCCCAGCCCAGGCTCCATTTAACGTTGGTGGCAGCTACGCTACTCTCAGCCGTGTGAAGGGTGGACTCCACTCTGCTATCTTCATGGCCTTTTGACTCTCAATATGACAAATGCTTATTCACACCTACTGTGCTGGAGTTTTATGTCAACAAGACACAGCTAGGGTCCTTTAAGAGGAGGGAACCTCAATGGAGAAAAGGCCTCCATAATAAGATCAGGCTGCCAGTAAGCCTGGAGGGCATTTTCTTAGTTAATGATTGATGGGAGGGCCCAGCCCATTGTGGGTGGGGCCACCCCTGGGCTGGTGGTCCTGGGTTCTATAAGGAAGCTGGCTGAGCAAGTCATGGGGAGAAAGCCAGTAAGCAGCTCCCCTCCATGGCCTCTGCATCAGCTCTGCCTCCAGGCTCCAGTCCTGACTTCCTTCAATGATGAACACTGATATGGAAGTTTAGGTCAAATGAACCCTTTCCTCCCCGAGTTGCTTATGGTCCTGGTATTCATCACAGCAACAGAAACTTTAGCAAAAACATACTGGTACCAGGATAGTGGGGTCTTGCTGTGACAGACCTGACCATGTGTTTTGGGAGGATTGTGGAAGAACTTTGGCTCTTTGGGTTGGAAAAGCCGTTAAGTGTTAAACCTTGGCGAGCTGTTCTGTGGGAGCTTGAAGATAAGAATGTTGAGGGCAATGCAGACAGTGGAAGCCTGCCTTCTTCAGAGAGAAGTTTGAGAGTCCCTTAAAGACTATCACGGGCGTTTGCTATTTTGAGTTGAAAGTCCGTGATTCCAGTCAGCTGAAGCAGAGGAATCAGCTGTGATGAATAAGGTAATAACCGCTACAGTGAAGTCTTTGCTCTTCTGGGACAGTGGATGCTGGTCGGCTGGAACTGAGAAATTAGCAGTGATTAAGAAGAGACCAGCACCACCAAGGTGAAGTCTTCTGAGAAGTGTTTCCGCAGGGGCTGCACACAGGAGCTATGTTCCAGGGCGGTCAAGGTTGGACCTCGTGCTGGCAGCTCTAGGAGTCACCTGTAAGAGTCTCCCAGCTGGTGCTGGTTTTGAAGGCGTGAAGGGGTCGTGGAGAGCAGCTGAGGCTTGGTGCTGTGAGAGACCAGGAGAGGCAGTTGGCGAAGGTGTAGCTGCAGTAGCAGCTGAAGACCAAGGACTGGAGGGTCACACGGAGTTCAGGTTTGGCACCAGGAAAGGTTATTGGTCAAACTAGCCCAATTGCAGCTGTGGACACCAGCATTTTGGAGACTCCAAACGGCCATGGGACAATCGCCAATGGCAGCAGCAGCTACGGGAGTGGAGCCTGCCTGAGCCTAGGAGACAAATGTGGGTGCTGTGGTTAGCCCTTTGGACCCCAGAATAGCGTGAGTGAATCCCAGACATTGGGCGCTGAGTTATTTACACTGCTGGAGTTTGGTTTTGCTATGTTCTGATTATGACCGTGTTCTGGTTCTTCCCTCTTAGAATAAGACAGCATTTATTTTATTTTACTGGAGTCCACAGTTGAGAGACTGAACTTTTAAAGAAGAGTTCTAAGAGACTTCGGATTTTAATAGATCTGATATTTTAGAGGCTGAACTTTTGTTGTTGTTTGGACAGGGTTTCTCTGTGTAGTCCTGACTGTCCTGGAACTCTCTCTGTAGACCAGGCTGGCCTGGGATTTACAGATCCTTCTTCTGTCTTGGCCTCCTGAGTTCTGGCTGGGATTAAAGGTGTGTGCCACCATGGCCTGCTGAGCCTGAATATTTAAAGTGTTAGAATTTGTAAAGACTGTGGAACTTTTAAAGTTATTTATGACTTAAATTGCAATATTTTATTAACATACCATCTTGGTGACAAATGAGAAGGAAAGGTTCTGATTGAAAAGTGATGTTTGTGGAGCTGGAGAGATGGTTCAGCAGTTAAGAGCATTGACTGCTCTTCCAGAGGTCCTGAGTTCAATTCCCAGCAACTACATGGTGGCTCACAACCACCTTGAATGAGATCGGGTGCCCTCTGCTGGCATGCAGGCAGAAGACATAATAAATAAAATCTTAAAAAAAAATTAAAAAAAAAAAAGAAAAGTGATGTTTGTGCTTAGTTGACAAGGGGTCAGTTGTATTGGCTAGTTTTATGTCTACAGGGTCATCTAAGAGAGGGAGCCTCAAATGCTTCCACAGCTGTATGCAGGCAAGCCTGTAGGATATTTTCCTAATTAGTGATTGATGGGGGAGTAATGGGGAATGTACTGTGTGTGTTTATTGATTGTTAAATAAAACACTGTTTGGCCAATGAAATGGCAAATTAGGCAGGACTAGGAGTCAAAGAGGATTCTGGGAAAGGTAGTGGAGAAGTGATGAGCCAGACAGGAAGTGACATAGCAAGGAGACTCATATTTAAGCGAAGGAGAAACAGGAAGGGTCCTTTTTTTCTGTTTGCCTCCTCCAGCGACAGGATGTGAGCAAGGAGGGATGCCAATAAGGCATCCGATAAGATAAGTCTTATAAAATATATAGATTTATGATAATTAAGACTGAGCTAACAGACGAAGAATCCTAGTCATTGGCCAAGCAGCTTTGAACCTAATACAAGTTTCTGTGTATTCATTTGGGCCTAACTCGGGCAGGCGGCTAGCGTAAAGCTCACACGTGGCGGTGGGGCTCAGGTGGCTTTTGGCGGAAAGATTTATCTTAACAGGGGAGGGTCTAGTCCATCCTGGGTGGAGGCATCCCCGGACTGGTGGGAATCTGTGTCCGTATGCCCCCGGGAACATATAGAGAGAAGAGAGGAACTAGAGAACACTAGAATGTTCTGGAACGTTGCAGAAGAATGGTTTCTTCTACTTGGGGGAGGATGGGGTGAGGTGAGTGGGACAGATTCGGTGATGATCATGTCCGGCTGGGTATGGGCTTTGAAGGTCTTAGGTACCAGGTTTGCCTGGTAAGGGACTGGAGGGGCTCTGGGGAGCCCCCATCCCCATGTAGCCCGCAGGGGAGCCTGACCAGACTTCCTGCTGGTGTCTGTAACCAGGTGTGGGATGGATGGCTGCCTAGGAGCTGAGTCTTGGCATTTGGGTCCTGGCCCATTTTCAGAAAAAAAACCTCAGAGGCAAAATACAGCCCACAGGGTCCTGTTCACTCCTCTGAGTATAGTTTTCAGACAAAACTACTCGTTTCTGTTAATTTGTCTGTATGCTTTCTAGATATTTTTTCAGCTGTGGGTAATTTGGGTCTTCCCGGGAAGTCAGTGGGAGGGTGGGATGTAGGACAAGTGGTTAGGGAATTCTGGGGGTGTCCTCCACTTACAGTGTGGCAAAGGGCCACTGGCAGGCACCTGGTAGGGTCTCACTCTAATCTGTGTTTGGCTACCAAAGTCTCCAGAAGGGCTGGAGGGCTCAGAGGTGACCTTTCACGTCTTCTTAAATGCTCACTGAGCTGGAGAGATGCCTTAGTGGTTACAGCACTTATTCGTCATGCAGAGGATCTGGGTTCAGGTCCCAGCACTGACATGGTGGCTCACAACTGCCAGTAACAACTCTAAATCCCAGAGGGTCTGTAGTGGTTTGAATAGGAATGGCCCCATAGGCTCCTAGGTTTGAATGTTTGGTCATTAGGGAGTGGGATGAGGAGATGTGGCCCTGTTGGAGGACATGTATTACTGGGGCTGGGCTTTGAGGTTTCAAGGGCCCAAGCCAGGCCCAGTGGCTCTCTCTCTTCCTGCTGCCTACAGATGTAGATGGAGAACTCCTGGCTGTCATGATTGCCTGCATGCAGCCGTGCTCCCACCATAAGGATAAGGAACCAAACCTCAGAAACTGTGAGCCAGCCCCATTCAAATGCTTTCCTGTGTAAGAGCTGCCATGGTCATGGTGTCTTTTTGCAGCTGTAGAACATGGACTAAGACAGGACCCCAGGTCAGGCCTCTGCAGACACCAGCACACGACACACAGTTGTAATGCAGGTAAAACACTCCTATACATAAACAACAATACATATAATTTAAAAAAAAGTTCAAAGTCCACTGCCTGAGGCTTTAAGGCCATCAGACAAAACAGCTTTCCTAACCTTGAGCTCATCTTGGGACCACAGGCTCCTGAGTCACCAATATTAAGCAACTTTAAAACATGAAAAAGAAATCTCCTCCCTTATCTGTCCCCAGGGGGTAAAGTAAGAAAATCATGGCCAGCTTCCTTCTGCTGCCCTGGGACAGAGAGCTGATTCACTGTTACACCCCAGCCAGGTCAGGACCCCATCCTCAAGTGGTCTGAGATGGCTCAGGCAGTGCCTGTGTGGCCTCCTGTGTGGCCTCCTGTGGCCTTTTCCTCAGACCCATTTCTCATGCTCTTTGGGAGTGACTCATTAAAAAGTGTACCTAAAATCAGGGGTTGGGGGGGCTCAGTTTCACTAGGCAGTTTCCATCCCACACCCCAACCTGGGCCTCAGAATGGAGCAAGCAAGGCCTCTGTGAGGGCAGAGTGCAGCTGGGCTTTGGGGTGATGGAAGAGACTAAAGGGAAGACTTTGGAAGGGCCAGCGGCAGTTTGGCTCTGCATCAGGCACATATTTGATGTTTTCTTCCTCATGGCCTGTGAGGTGGATAAAGGGTCAATCTAAATGACAGTAGAGGCTCTTTGGGATTAGGTGATTCTTAGGAGCTATGAAGCAGGGAAGATTTGCCCTTTGGGAAACTACAGCGTCCCCTGGCTGATTGGCTTGAGGTGGAGGGTGACCTATGTATGCTTGTCACTGAGGAGGGGCTACCTCAGGAAGACATCTTTATGTCCACAGGTGACTCTTGTGATTCTCATTCATTCATTCTCTCTCTCTCTCTCTCTCTCTCTCTCTTTCATTTCCT